AAATATCGATTGCTGCAGATCAATAATTGGAAAGGCCCTAGCGAATCAGAGGTAACAAATAAAACTGACTTTGATAATAAGGATGATTATCATTGCTGAATTACTTGTCTTCCATCGAATGAATCCTCGGGAAATCGATTAGCATTTTGTAGGGTATGTGTGGAATAAAACAGTACTAACAAAACATAATAGAGATATGCCTGTTTGGAGGAGCATATCACGACATTATTAGCAAGACAAGATAGGATAGCAGTTGTTTTGTTAAATATAGTAGAAGTCAATAAAAAAGGGTATTATATTCTATTTAGTAGACCCATTCAGCTTTGCAAATATATAAACGATTTAGAACTATTGATTATTACTAATAAATAATGAATATATGTTTTACCAGATCGTCCTAAAACTGTATAAGTGAAAGAAACAATAAGGCTTGGTATAAAAAACTATGAATTAAATATATAATAGTGATTTATATTTATCAATACAAAGTCAAAAGTGTATTAGTGTTTAGATACAACTACAACTAAAATTATTAGGACTACAATTTCGAGAGCTGAACTACGTTTTCAAAATAGTCTTAGTTAGTTAAATAGTCTACTTAGTTCCACTAAACGAATCGACATATTTACGTAAAAATTTATGGAGATAATTATTATGTAAAACTGTGAAAAAACATATGAATATATAATAAATGTACAAAATAAAGGTTTTTATTTATAAGAGCATTAATATAAAAAAATTACAAAACAAGTTTAATTAAAATTTTTTTAAATTAATTTGTTTATGTTACGACAGTTACCAGTAGGGATTGTATTTGTTTTTATTCTTACATTATAATAATAAAAGTAGTTTAAATTATTATAAAAACAAAACAATATAAATCATAAATTATAAAGTAAATAATTATATATCGTTAAATATATAACAATGACATAGTAAAACTCCAACAAAAAAGTATGTACTTTTTAGTTATAGAGTGATTTCAACCTTTTTTAATTTTAATTATCAATTAATTTTCTTGATAAAACGCTACCATCATGAATCAATTATAATATAATGTATTTCATATATATATGTGTTGTTCAGATAACTGAAGAATCATAATTTTAATTCTAACAAGTATGTTTATAAGTACAAGTACATAGAGTACTTCTTTTTTCCATCTTACTACAGATACAAAATAGTTTCTTGGTAAATGAAATTAATTTAAAAGGGAAATCAAAAAACTTGTTCATTGTTTGGATGACGTGTAAAGAATATATTCTTATATTTAATCAAAATTTAATTTAATTAAATTATTTATACTAGTAATAAATTATTATTTCTCTTCTTAGAAGCACTTAAAGTCGGCCCAAGAAAAAAATTATTTGAAATATTTTTAACAGTAAAGTCATCGTAGAGTGCGGCCCAAATCGTAGAGTACCAGAGTACCAAATTGTTTGTGAAAGAAATATTAATATTATACATTATAGTTTTTTTTATAGAAGATGTGAAAGTAGTCATTATAAAAAATTAAAAAATTTAAAATACTTAGAAAAAGTTACGAGAATATAAATAACAATAAATCAGCGTGTAAAGCATCGATTATTCTTCATTTCATCATGATTTTTTTTATTGTCATACAATCGGTGATATTAGAAAAAAAGATGGAAGCAAATTATTAGTTTGCATTACAGTACACGTTCCAATAAACGTGTATGGTGGTTACCGAATACAATATGTTATGTGACTCCTTCAAAAAAAAAACTCAAACGTCAGAGTTCTAATAACGTTTCTTTTATTTTGTTTGCTCTCACAAACATTTAATTCAAAGTGCCAACGCATAATGCCAATAATAGGGTAATGTTCCAGTTCCAGTGCAGTTTCCATTTTGCCCTGAAAATATATCTCCCATGGTGACAACTGTGGATTTGTAAAATGTAAACTTAAGCACTGTAAAGAAATATATATAGTACATTTGTCTGATTTTAATTATACTTAAAGTGTTATAAAAACTGAAGCAAGAAGATATTATAAAAGTTGCATTTATTCTCTCTTAGAATATGACTGGGAGACTTTCTTTATAGACTATATAGCACAAGAAATTGTTTTAAAAGTGCTTTTTGCATTAAATTCATAATTTAAACAGCTGATCAATAATCTGTTGTTTGATTAAGTACTATTCGGTAAATTAAAAATTAATGGAACGTGAGTAACCACTTTTTATTTATGTATATATAAGCATAAGGCAATGGTCCTTACTTTTATTTAAGTTGTTTTGTTTGTCAAAATTAAAATTAAATTTAAAAAAAATTGTTAGAATAAAGAAAACGTTAAAGCAATTCTTCAGCCACCGACGCATCCTCGAAGATATTCCAATGCTGGATACTGTTTATAAACTATATTGGTTACAACTGGTCACTGTATTATGAACTGGTAATAAGATTGAGTCGTACTTGCTCAAAATTAAAAGATATTTATTGTCACTCTCCATGGTACTTGGAACAGAGCCTAAAACAAAGATATATTTTACCATCTCAGGTTACCACGCTTTAAGCCGTTTGCAATTTTTGGTTTTAATGATAATTTGCTACAATTTAACTAGTTGTTTAAGCAACTTGTTTCTAAACAATCCCCCGCCCTTTCACACTTCATTTACCCAACAATATCCTAACTCAAGTATTTGTATATGTAATTCCTATCATGTTATTTGCCATATAGAGCTACATGGACTATGAGTGTTACAACTACAGTTGTTGAAGTAAGTGTTCGGTAGCTATATTGACTATATTGTCGCTATACGAAAACTGTAGTGTGACATCTTAAATCATGTTGATTACCGTGTTTTGTTAAAATGGTTTAAGGAATTGATCTATGTAAAGAAGACAACTGCAATTCCAACATTAAGAGTTAATACAAATACTGAGAATATTACTAATGAGATAAGTAAATTGTATGCAGTTTTTGAGATATTTATGTAAAACCCAATATTAAGATTTTTATATTGAATAAAAATATAATTAACATATTTGCTGAAATAGTGTTCATTTTCTTTCAATCCTATACTTTTTAAATAGGATACACTTTAACCAATATCCTATAGATCTTATTAAGTGTATTATAATAATACAGTTAAGCTATCTATTATTTTTATTAGAGAATATAACTTTTTCTGAAATAAAAACTTTCAAATATAAAATGAGTTTTATCTAATTAATATCAATTATGAAATGCATTGAGTCGTAGTGGCAATCAATTTTGGAAATCTTAATTGTTTTCTTATAGGTGAGTATATTCTAGTTAAGAGATTTGATTTTTTTATTTTTGTCTTGCGTCACTGTACTTCGGACGATGACAATGACATTGAAATATTACTACTATAAACGTGCGACGATATTTTGTTTAAAATCAAAATCTGTGGGTGTGAATATTTTCCACATCATTTTAAACTAATTTTATTATTAAAAGTTTTTTTAAAAGTCCTTGACATTGTCAATATGAGTATAAACCTCATCAAAAAACACAACGTGTGGCATTGAACCGACTATACAATAGGCAAACACACGGAATAACTAATTTTACTGAGCTTTCACTGTACTCACTTAAGCGTCATTAGTATGCAATGTCATACAAAATATATTACAAATCCTTTTCAAAAGAATAAAAAGAAAACCTCGAGTGAATCGTAGAGAATAAGAATTTTCTTTTAAATTTACTTAAGCAAAAAACCGGAAAAAAAAATAATAATAATAAAAATATATGAAATAATAAGGCCGATTATTATATATTTAAATTTCTTTATATTTGTATTTTATTATTTATTATTTTTTATTACTTTTTGATGTTTCAATTTTTAGTTTTAACTTTTAATTTCATATTATATAATAATTTTGACTTAAATTTAATAATATTTTTGAATGACACAAACTTAACTATATAATTTTTTTTAATGTTTTTATTACTTATTATAAAAAATCTTGAATATAATTTGTTAAATAAATGTTTTCTGAATTAACTTGAATTCATCTCATTTTTGAATGTAATAACATATAAATTCCTTTATTATTATATTTTATTTATTTATATTTTCATATATTAATTGATATTTTTCAACATTTTGTAAAATATTTCTAAAATTTTTTGTATTTTGTTTTTTTTTTCTTTCAATTTTAATATAAATATTAATAATTTTTGCATAAAAATAATGCAAAATACTGTCAAAATATAAAGGAATACACTGTGAAAAGTGTATGGTTTTGTATTTTTGTCTCTTTTTAAAATTTTTGTAGTTTTTAAGTTTTAGTTTCAGTTTTTGTATATAAAAAGTGTGCTGATTTGTTACAATTACCAAAAATATATAAAAAAAACGTTTTTATATGTAAAAGAAATGATATATATATATTCATTTGATATTTAATTGTATACATGTTTGACTTTTATTTTTTGTATATGTCTATGCTTATATATTTTGCTATAAGATATTAATTATAATGATTATAAAATAAATTTTTAACAAAGTCTTTTGTTTTCATTAAAAAGAATTTAATTGTACATAATATAAAATTAATTGAATGAACAAAAAAAAAAAATATATATATATAAAAAATAATAATAACAATAATAAAATTATAATATTTTAAATTAAAATTTTTGTTATTAAAATAAAAAATTGTGCTTTACATTTCTTTTTTCTTTACTTTTAAACAAATAATTATATATAATATAATAAATTTTTTTATGGCAGATTTTTTAACTTAAATGCTATATAACAGTTAATAATATTTTTATTTAATTTTATTTAAATTAATTTTTTTATTAACAAAATTTTTTCGTTATTTGTAATTTGTATGTCTTCCCTCACTTAAGAATATATGTAAATTTGTCGTACGATTTTTGCTTCTTCATACTCTACTAATAACAATTTTTACCAATTTTCGATATTATTTACAATTTTTGTTAATTATAATATATATATATATATATATATATATATAAACATGTTATATATTGAATTTGTTCTTTTTCTTTGTTTGCTTATTAATTAATATTTTACTTGATTTAAAATAATATTTTTTTTTAAATTTTTTCATTAGTTTTGCACGTATTCTCTTAACACTTTCTCAAAATAAATTTTCAAATCGGTCAAATTCACCAAAAAATACTTTTCATGCAACATTCTTACACAATCGTCACAATCGCAACGGGAACGCTTACGCGCTTAGCAAAATTTAAGTAAGAATCTATTCATTTAGTAAGCAGGTTCTGATAAGTGCATCACACACTGCATATGGATCGCAGTTCGAACTTGGACGACGATCCTCAAAGTAACCTTTGCCAGCATCGGCAACACCACGTGGTATACGCACACTGACACCGCGATTAGCAACGCCCCAAGAAAATTTATCAATACTTGAGGTCTCTAAAGCGCCCAACAAACGACGTTGGTTGTCTTTACCCTCTTTGGGATCATATGCGCGTATATGTCTTTCTTGCTGTTTGCTAAGTTTTTCAATAGCAGCTTCAATAGCTTTCATACCACCATTGGCGCGCATAGCTTTTGTTGAGAAATTAGTATGTGCACCAGCTCCATTCCATTGACCTTTCATGGGTTTAGGATCCAATGTGACAACAACGCCATATTCTTCAGCAATGCGATGTAAAATGTAACGTGAAACCCATAAATCATCAGCGGCTTTCATACCTAGACTTGGTCCAACCTGATATTCCCATTGTGCAGGCATTACTTCAGCATTGGTACCAGCAAAATCAATGCCAGCATATAAGCAAGCAATGGCATGTGCTTCAACGAGATCACGTGCATAAACACGATCGGCACCTACACCACAATAATAAGGACCTTGTGGTGCAGGGTAGCCGTTAGCTGGCCAGCCAAATGGGCGACCATCAACATCGAGTAAAGTATATTCCTGTTCAATACCAAACCATGGTTCTTCAGCATCGGCTTTTTCAATAGCTGCCTGGCAAGCGGCACGTTTATTTGACTTTGTGGGCTTACCATCGGCATTGTAAGTATCACACATTACTATAATATCATTTTGGCCTGGCTTGAAGGGATCACGATAAATAGCACGTGGCGCGAGTATGGTATCAGAATTCTCGCCTGCAGCTTGATATGTGGAACTTCCATCGTACTGCCATTTAGGTAAGTCATTGACACTGGTGGGAATTTTGTCTAATACGCGATCCTTCAAACGTATATGTTCGCCTGTGCCATCAATCCAGAGATAGGTGGCTTGTACGCGATTGGCTGGAGTCTCCAATTTACGGTAACGTTCCAGTATGGATTTGTCCAATGCGGTATTTGGTGAGTCCTTCAAAAAATTTGAACCAGCACAAGCTGTACTTATGTGCAATTGACGGAATTGTTTGGCAATCTGTGAAGAAGCACTAAGTTCTTTGCTAAGAAATAGACCAGCACAACGTAAAGCCATTTTTATTTTATTTTATGGAACTTTTTTTTATAAAATTGTATTAACTGTATATTCTTTTATGTAAAATTTAAAATTCACTTATTTTCTGCCGTTGCAATTTTTTTTAAAATATTCAGTTATGTGTTTTGGCACTCAAAGGATGCAGGATGTCAAGGACATTTGAATACGTTAAGGTTAAATTTGCAAGTTGTATGCGTACGCGCTTAAAGATGTATCTTTTCTGATTCTTTGGTCTTAGTACATTTCACTTTTCTTTGATTTTCTCACAAACATCAAATTTCTGTTTGTTTAAATTCGTGGTGGGATTTTTGATAATTTTTTTTTTGGTTCAATCCAAAATGTGCAAAATTTCACTTTTAAAAAAATTTTTTTTTTCTTTAATAACTTTTAAAACAGCTTCTTTGCTTGCAGTAGCAATTAATTTTTTATTGAATATTTGAAATTTTATTTAATAATACGCGACGTATCACGAGAAATGGACGCCCATCCTCTACGAAGTTAGGACAGTTTATGAACGCAGTGCCCAAAAACATTCACTTTTCTTGTTTTATTTTTCAAAATGCCAGTCAGCCTCGATTTTCTTTATCGCATGCAAAACATTTCCACCCGACCGCCTGCATCAACAGCGCACACCATACACCATACACCACACAACACACAACACACAGCATAAGGCAAGAGCGCAAAGCCAAAACAGAAAGAGAGAGTCAAAGTCGAAACAGTCAGAGAGCAGAAGAGCACATATTACCAAATCAGTTAAATGCTTGGCAATAGCAGCAAGCTATTTGGATAAAATGTGTTGGGGAGGTGGTGAAGTGGGACGTGGTATATTGGTATGGAGCAAGTGCATTTACACTGACTTGTTGTGTTTGTGCATATAAAACACAATTTTTTAATTTCAATAAATTTAAATGCGGAAAGTAATGCCGAAAACAAAATAAATTGAAATTAAAAAACAGAAATGAAAAAAAAAAAAAAATCAATAACAAAATTGTACACATGTAAATAAAAAAACAATAACAAATACACAAATTCAAAACAACGCAAAGCAAAATCGAAAACAATACCCAAAACAATATCTTACCCACTTAAATATGATAAAGCTGAAGACCATAACAGAGTCAATAGCACAAGCTAAAGCAAAAATACAACCAAAATACAACAAAAAAATATCTGCAGTAACAGCAGAACAGCAACAGAACAACAACAACTTTAAAATAACAACAATAATAGAACACAACACTGATAAAGTGATAAACACGTTAATCAGGCCTGCCTGCCTGCTTGCCTGTCTTCATACGGTAAAAACGGTAGCATTAGAACCACTAGACAAATGCAAACAGCAACAACAAAATAATAATGCCAGCAAAAGCTACAGAGCGCGAAAGTGGAGAGCATTATTATGCCAAAAAAAATTCTCAAAAATAAAAACAATAAATAAAATAAATGTTTTGATTTTGTTTGTATGGTTTCTTCCCAAAAATTTTTTTTTGGCATATCTTATCAACAAAGTATGAGCTGTTTTTTCTCGTTGTTGTATTTTTCATAATCAAAACAAAAACAAAAGCTAAAAAAAAAACAAAAAAAAAAAAACAAATACTTTCATTAAAATAAAAAATGAATTAAAAAAGTAATTTTGTATACGTTTTTCTGCATTTGAGTCCAAAGTTCAATTAAATATTTTATGTGTTTTTGTGTGTTTTTTAAATTTACTTATATTTTATTTGAATAATACTTCAAAGGAAATATATAAAAGCACAACACACATGCACGTACATATTTCAGTCCACGTTTTCTGCTTTTTCTGAGCAGACTTAATCGTGGGTGGCGCTGTTAAGTTTTTGTAAAGCTATTGGGCACAGAACAAAAAAGTGCACGTAGCAGATAGAGCACGAATTTTCAAATGTTATGAACATTTTGTTAAGCTTCAATTTTAAGCTTTTGTGTTACGTACTTATGCACAAAGCCAAATTGCTATATAACAAATCTAAACAGAATTATTTTGTAATAATAGTTTTTTTTAAAATAATAAATATTATACCTGCATTTTATATTTTTTTTTTGCAATTATGGAATATGTTAATATTGAAATATAAGAGTCACGAGAAACATTAATTAATAAATAACAAAAATTATAAAATATATAATATTTTTATATTATTATAATAAAATAATATTATTTTTAATGCAATATATTGCAATTGAAATGAAGAGTCATGACAGATATAAGATAAGAAAAATCTATTTATGACTGTATTAACAGTTCTAAAAAAAGGTATGGAATATGTTGAATTTGAAATATAAGATATTATCCACGAAAAATATTAAATAATAAACTACAAATAAAAATATGTAATATTTTTATATTATTATAATAAAATAATATTAAATTTAATGCAATACATTGAAATTGGATTGAAGAGTCATGACAGATATTAGATAATAAAAATTTATGTTTAAGACTGTATTAACAGTTCTAAAAAAAATTTTATGATTACTTAAAATTGGTAAATAGTTAAAGCTTAATAGTAAAAGTACAGAAAAAAAAAAATTAAAAAATGTCTCAAAAAATTATGCATATGTAAACTGTGTTTAAATATTGAAAATAAAACAAATTTATTATTTTAATGATCAAATCTTTTTGAATAATAATTTTGTTTTTTAATGGACTAATTGGTCAATAATTAAATACATTTTTTTAAAAATTTTTCTGTTTTTTAAAAGATTTTATTTGAACTGTTATTTGGAGTACATTCTATAGTCATCATCAAGGTACTATATAATGTTTACATAATATAGCAATATTTTGATATTAATCACAATAGTTAATAGTTATACAATATATTAACATTAAAACATGAATTACACATATAGACAAAATAATTATATAATACTTTGACAATACATATATAGAGGAATGATATATGGTATTTATTCTCTTCTAGATTTGTTGAAGATGTTTTTATATACCTGAGCACAGTGTTGTATATCAGTTTTATAATTGAGCCTGGTGTCACTAAAAGTTTGTAGAATATATAACATTTTCAAGAAAAAGCGTTTTTGTTAGTTATATTCATAGTATAACACCTTTAAATTATCTAGGTCCGACTCCTGCTTTGATGTAATGCAATTTGAAACCAAAAAACAAAATTATTATTAGAAAGTAATAATATTATTTAAATATATTAATTAGCAATTTAAAAATGTCGAATGTACTTTTCGAAATCTTTCTAATGAAATACAATATTTTCTATTATGTAAAATAGTCATTACATTTATAATTGACGTTAAATCACAATTTATTAAATAAAAATGTCGACTGTAATTATAATTAATTTTTTGATATACATAAGTTTTAATAATTTTTGTAAAACATTATATTTCTTTATCAAATATTGAATTTATTTTCACCTATGATCCTATTCAATAAAAAAGTGAAAATTCTAAAAAATATGTATATTCTTTTTGCCTTAAGATTTTGCTAAAATATTTTGCTCCCAATACAGTTTATTAAAAACATCTGGTTAACATTTGTAACAACTCTGTTAACAACATTTCTTCACCGGAAAGCTTTCTTTATGCAGCATCAGTTTGCTATATTTTTAATAATAGCGTGTTGTTTGGTACAGTACATGAGAATATGCGTTTTAATTGAAGTATGTGTTAGTATAAATGTTTATTAATACGGTGATTGCTATAGCCAGCATTATAGAGTCCTTAGTAAACAATGCAATATATTATCTTATAATAACATTTTATATATATATTACATTTAAATTTATATAATAAATATAATAATATTTTGTTTAATATCACTATACTATTATTATAAAAAAATGTGTGTATAATATAAAATTAATTAATATTTATTTCGGTTGACCATAGAGCTGTTTTGAGTATTGTGAAATACTTATAATCAGTGTTCATTTTAGAAAGATTCGTAAGGAAATATATTGAGACTGCAAATACCAAGGGTTGAACTTGTACCCTGCAAAATTCAAAGTTCAGAGTCAGTATTACTTTACCGACTGACCAAAAATAAGGAAATAGTCTTTCTATCGTACTGCCAAATGCCCATTATTAGTGTTTTTTTTATATATAATTATATTTTGAAATGCTAGAAAAATTAATGGAAATATTTCTAATATTTAATTAATAATTTTTTAAATTGCTGGTACCAATGGTTGATCATATATTATATTTTATGCAGTACTGTCGACTTTTACTTTGTTTTTTATTATATTTTTTAGTTTCGTCAATAATAATAAATTTGGGGTTTATAGGCTGTTGTGTATTTATGTTTATATATTTAATTAATATCAACAATGATCCAAGTTAATATGGTTTTTTTCTTTTTTAGAACGTTTTTTACAGTCTCTAAATTTGTCAAGTTAATTATCCAAGTTAACATGGCTTCTAACTTTTTTAGAATGTTTTTATGGGTAAATGTTTATGCAAAAAATCGCAGATTTTGTCAGCTATTTTCAGATACAAAAGGTACTAACACTTTTGTTTGCTGAACATTAAATACTACATTATGAACTTATTGAGCGATTTCTGATATTGCAGTAGTTTTCGAAAGATTTTATTTAGATAGTTTAATAAATAGTTTAATTACAGCTTGTAGGGTATTTCTACTGAAGCATTAACAGATAGCAGTTTTTTTGAATGTTAAAGCTTTTTTTTTAACAGACAATTTGTATTTCTGTCTGGAGTGCACAGAGCACAATTAATGTTAATTGCAGTTTGAATTTTTGTTTTTATTTGAGAGTTTGCTACAAAATTGAAGTACATTGGTCTTCGCCACTCTCTTACTTCTCCCTTGCCTTTAAAGCTTCATTAAATGTTAATCCATCAATATATGTGTATTCATAAAAGACATTTAAAAAACAATGTCATTAGCTTGCAGTCACTTTTTTGCTTATCATATTTTGCTGTACATACATACGTTTGTGTGTGTATACATTTATTTCTGTTTTCTATTTTGTTTGAGTTCATTTAGCCCTGCCCCAGTTTTGTGTACAGCTTTTGTGTGTGATTCAGTGTTGGTGCACAGCTGTTCATTGCATCTGGTTTTCGGATTAAAAATTAGAGTTTAATGAGCGTTTTGTGTGTACGGCACAAGAAGCACAGTTGTACCTCAGCGTCAAGCTGACTGACAACAAGTTTGCATAACCAGTTCTTGTTGGTGACGTTGCTTCGGTTCAAAAGGCACAAAATTACTTATGAAGAAAATAGTGATGATGATGAGGATATGATGCAACTTTCGCGATTGTTGCGATTGTTGCAAGGGTTCTCCAAGACAAGTGAAAGAAAATTATGGGAAAACCAAAAGAACGTAGAGAGTAA